TGAGTCAGACTACATAAAACTCAATTTATGTATCCAAAAGCATCCTAACTAATGTGAAAAGAAACCAAATCACTTGGGATTATCTTCTTAATAAAGCAGCTCAAATACTATGTGTTTATATAATATGTGTTGCCTTGGCCAGTGTGACTCAGCTGGTTGGGTCATACAAAGGTTGCCGGTTTGTTTCCAGGTCAAGGCACCTGCTCAGGTTTCGAGCTCGATCCCTTCCCCTCTGTATCTGTAAGTCTGTTTCTACTAAAAAAAATTATAATAAAAATATATAATATGTGTTAATACCTTAATTAATACTTAGAATTGCTGACAATTCTATCTTGATCATAAAAATAATTTTAACCATCCCATCTGAAACATTGTCTTAACAGCCACTAAAGAAGACATCAGTAAATACGGATGCATCTTTCTTAAAGATTTTTTAAAAGAAAAAGTTATACATACTTTCAATACTTTATATCTGTTATGTAAAAAAATTCAAAAATGAAAAGAACAATCTTAGAGTTCCTTCTAGGATCTGCATATGGTTGCCAAACAACTGAATAATTAGATACAGTTTATATGAAAATTGAGGCAACTTGTATATGTAACCATTTGAAAACTTTCCTGTTTGTATTTGTGTATGTGTATATAAGCTTGATCATGAGTATACATACGCAAACATACACAATCTTTTTTTTTTAATCCTTACCCAAGGATATGTTTTTATTAATTTGAGGGAGAAAGGGAGGCATGGAGGGAGGAAGAGAGAGAGAGAGAGAGAGACCAGAAACCTAGGTATGTGCCCTGACCAGGAATTGAACCAGCAACCTTTTGGTGTACTGGATGACTCTCCAACCAACTGAGCCACCCAGCCAGGGCTACATATAAAATCTTTTAAATCTGTGGAAATAACTAAGATAATTTATATAAAAGGAAAACATTTTTTGCTTTATTAAAGTGATTCACCGAAGGATATACCATGGTTCATTAAAAACACAGGAATCATAAACAGGTGTTTTTTTTTCTTGATTGATGGCTATGTAAAAATATATCTGCTTTAAGAAATATTAGTCTCATTAGTCATTTATAGTAACACACAACTATTGCCAGGCAAATATTAAAAGACTAAAAACATTTGAACTTGTACAGTCATAGCTTAAGGATATAGAAGGCAAAAACAAAAGAGAATTTATTCTGAGTCTTGCAGAATGAACCAAAAACTTCAGTTTAGCCAAATATGCATGTGACTCCATGTGTCTCACACATAATAGCAGCTTGGAGGCACAATCAAATCTAAAAATTTATTACAGCAGGAAATGGAAATCTGCACTATTAAAAGGTAAAGATGAACATATAAATTGTTATCTGAGAGGAAAAGTGAGGAATGAAAATCCAATGCAGTAGAGGAAGTGGGTTGTTAAATACTTTTCAAATTGCTCAGTGTTAAACCATTATTACTGAATTCAAATCTCAGTACTCTATCAGGATATGAAACTGTTAACCCACCACACCCCTAAATATTGCTTAATAAATTAAACACAAACTGTCAATCTTATTGGATGTGCACTTCTTAGAAATTTCTTTCAACTTAAAACAGAAACAGTTGATGTAACAGCTATTCCATCACTACTTTTGTTGTAAAGGCATGGATTTTGAGAGCCTCTCATCAATGAAGGACTAAATTTTAAGAACTGGAAGGAAATTTAGGAGGTCACTTTTAACCCAAACTCTATCCCAAACTAGGAAACATTTAGCAAAGATTTATTGAGAGGTCTCTACTAGTATATTCAAGACTCATTATTGATTGCTGAGGGAGACACAAATAAATCTAAAACCTGCCTCAGGGAATCTATAGAATGCCCCAAAGGAATTCTAGGCTGAGAAACAGAATATTAGACTGTAATAAATATAATGTAAAATCCTAAGAACAAAGAGGCTTCAGGGAATGGTTAAGTGATATCTGAGTTAGGCCTGGAACAAAGGGTTGAATCTAGACAATTGGTAATGGAAGAAAAGAATATTCCAAAGCAGTGAGGATAGAGTACACTCTGACTCCCTATACCAACTGTGGGCAAACTACGGCCTGCGGGCCAGATCCGGCCGTCTGAAATGAATAAAACTAAAAAAAAAAAAAAAGACCGTATCCTTTTATGTAATGATGTTTACTTTGAATTTATATTAGTTCACACAAACACTCCATCCATGCCCTCCGGTCCAGTTTAAGAACCCATTGTGGCCCTTGAGTCAAAAAGTTTGCCCACCCCTGCCCTATACAAATACACCCATTTCCAACTACTCCTCCCTTATTGGTACATATTCTGCTCTTGCCATGCCAGGTTTCCTGGTATTCTTTAACATTTAGGCAGGTGCTTCAAATAGGCATTGCCTTTTCAGGGCCATTGCATCTCCTGCTTCCTTGGCTTGGAATGATCTTTCCCCAGATATCTGCAAGCGGGCTTTCTTACCTCCTTCAAGTCTTTGCCCAAATGTCTCCTTCTCAGTGAGAACTTACCTGCCTACCCTATTTTTTTTTTCTTTTTAAATAGTTCATTGATTTTTAGAGCAGGAGGAAGGAAGAAGAGAAAAACATCGATGTGAGTATAAAACAGCGATTGACTGCCTCCTCACGCCATCTCCTAGGAATTGAGCCTGAAACCTGGGTTTGTGCCCTGCCCAGGAATTGAACTAGCAACCTGTAGGTGCACGGGAATACTGCCCAACCAACTGAGCTACACAGGCCAGGGCCTGCCTATCCTATTTTAAATTATCATCCTTGCACTCCCTGTCACCCTGTCCTGCTTTATTTTTTCCACATCACTAATAACTACTGATTAGTTTTGTGTATCCCCAACCCCAGAAAGAATATGTTATGTTTGTTCATCTTCAGATTTTAAAACACTGCCTGCACTTGGTAGGCATAAAATAAAAATCTGTTGACAAACTGACTGAAATAAATGGGTGAAAAAGATTTCTGCCCTCAAATAGGTTATGGTCTAGTGAAGGAAGCAAATATATAAACAAATAAATAACCTTCCATTATTTTCTGAATAACAAAAATACAGTTGGCAAAACTCAATTTATAAAAGACTAATACACAAAAACAGCTCTGGCATCCCTACTTCTACATGGCCAGTGACCACTAGATCCTTCTTTATACACCCCTCGGCCCCCTGACCCCAAGAACACTGTCATTTACCCAATGGCCAAATGACACCATAGCTGTCACTGCTGCCAGAACCTCCTCTTCCCACATTAACCCTCACTGCGACCTCCTGGGTTAAAGGTTAAACATATTCTATTCCCATTGCTAGACAAGAGAAAGATGTATTCCTGCATTTCCAAGTGAAATTCATTTTTCTGTAGATGGTTAAATTATAAACTGCAAGAATGGTTACACTGATATTATGGATTAGGCAAGAAACCTACTTTTAATATTGCTTAATTACTAAGTGTAGACATGAAAAACAAATGTTTGAATTCTCTTTCATCGCTGGAACATACTTTTTTTATACTGTGAATGAATGGCACAAGCAAAATGGTTAAGAGAAAGTTCCTTCAATAAAGACTAGCACTATATTTTAGGCAAATGGGTAACACTGTAAAGTTAAAGGCATGTTTTTTAAACCCAGAAGGATCAACTAGAATTTTATCCTGGATTAAGGAATGATGTAGAATTCTTAAATAAAGCATTAGCATTTAAGTTGCATTATACTCAAGCCACAAAGTAGTAGAAAATATTCTTTATCGCTAGCAACAGCAAAACTAAGGAAATGAGGAATAAGCTCAAGATTTCTCACGTCAACTAACACCTCCACAGACTGCATTATCATTTTAGGCAAAGTGACATTTTCACATTTAATTTCTAATGGCAGGAATGATTTCTATCTGGGACTAACCTGCATAAAAGTGTTAGCTTTGGCTCAATTTAAATATTTAACTGAAGGTTTATTTCTGGCTATAAGCAAACAGCCCCAATACTGCACAATATTTATATCTTTACATAAACCATACCGATGATAGCCCAACTTTATGTGTTTTATCTAAACAGAGAATTTTGCCCTCAGATAGGCACTGAACCCTCCCTCCATCGTTACTAAATTACTTACTAGTATCTTTCCTACCTTAAGATCTCCTGCATTTTTAAACAATATTTACACTTCTAAAAGCGTTTTTATAAACATTACTCTTCTTCATAAGTGGAGGAAAAACTATAAATGAGGACAAATTCTCTTACAAATTAGAGAGACACCAAACCAGCAGCTAAAATCCTGACCTCCAAGTACAGAATCACAGGTCTGGCCGGTCACCCACAAACGTCAATAATAATTAATTTAAATAATAATTAAACAATTTGCAGCCACTAAGAGAAAAGCCCCATGAAAGTGTTAGTTCCTCACTTATCTTTTTTTCTTTAACAAAGAGACACGTGGAAGTCAAACTGGGCAGTGGACCACGTATCACCACATAGAGGGGGGAGAGAGAGACTGCCCAAAGCGTGCGGTTCCCAGCGCGCAGGAAGCTAAGTTCTGCAGGGTGAGAGGAAAGCCCCAGCCCGTCTGTCCACGGAGGAGAAAGAAGTCCCCCAGGAAAGGCTGGGAGTCGGGGAGGTGGGGCTGCGAGACCAGCGAGCTCCGCCGTCTTCCTCGCAGGCTGGCGCGGGTGTCGGGGAGACAGGTGCGCAGGTGGGCTCGCGGGCGCAGGTGGGCTGCAGCCCCCACCCGCGAGGGCCCGCGCCGGGAAGTCTCCCGGGCCTCGCCCGCGCCGCCGGGAACCACTCAGGCAACAGACGGGCGGAGGAGCCACCCAGGCAGAGCCACGTCGGAGGATGCGAGCGCGGCGGGAGGTGGACACCCGCTCACACCCACCGGGAGGGAGGCTGACCACCCGGGAGCTGGAGGCAGCCGGGGCGCGAGAAGGGCCGCGCGTGCCTGAGGGAGTCGCCCTGAGGGCGCTGCCTGCAGCCCACAACTCCCCCTCGCCCGCATCGGCGGCGGCGGGATACTCACGTACGGCTGGTAGAACTTGGAGAGCCGCGGCTTCCCGTGGTTGTTGAAGATGAGGATCGCCTTGATCATGGCTGAGCCGGGCGGACCGGGTGGGCGCTGGGGGCCAGGGCGGGGGCGGGCGCGCGAGCCTCGCCTCGGGATCTCGCCGGCGATCCTTCCCAACCCGCCCCCTCCCGCACGCGCGCGCGCGCCCCCGAGCCGCGGGGCGGGCCCTGGGCGGGAATGGGCGGGGCCGGGGCGGGGCCGGCGCGGAGGGAAGCGGAAACACTCCAGGCCACGCCCACTGGCCGGAGGGGCTCCTGCGCGCTCCCGGGTCTGTGGCGACGCAGACCGTCGTCCCCTGCCCGAGGCGCGTAGCTGTGGAAAAACAGCAGTCGCGGTATTAATGGTCAGGCTTCTACGATAGGCTCGACATAGAAGGTAGCCGGAAATCCCAGCTCTCCCTGCAGAGTTGGGTCCCCTTTCGCCGTCGCCAGCCTGACGACTTCCTGGCGCAAAGCCCGCCCACTGCACGCTGAGCCCCCCACTTCCTATCTCGCCTCCCCCCGAGCAAGATGGCTGAGCAGCCGGAGGCCGTGCTCCCGCTCCCTCCTTCGGGTGCGGCGGACGGCGAAGGGCCTACGGACGTCTCCCCAGGAACAGCCACGCCGGAGCCCCCTTCTTCCGCCGCAGTCTCCCCGGGAACGGAGGAACCTGCCGGCGACACCAAGAAAAAAAGTAATTTGGAGAGTGGTTTCTAGGCAGAGGCGGGAGGTGTAGGTCGCTTCCCACGGGATGGCGGCCAATGAAGAAGCAACATTGAGAGGAAGGCCCGTGCCCGGCGTGGTTTTTGACGGTTAGGAAGGGACCTGTGCGTCTCGGCTTTGAAGACCTTCCTGTGGAGGGCCTTGCCGGAGGCCGTTGCTGGACGCTTGGCCATGTGGTGCGGCCCTGGCCTGACCTCAAACTTTCTCAGGGTGGGAGCGAGGGGGATCTCGGGAGCTCCAGGTACTTAGCCCGGTAGCTAAATAGAATAATGATTGAAGATGATAGAGCTAGTTCACGCCTTCCAGCTAGTTAGTTCGCAGGGGTTTGTTTTGTTTAAAATACCAGTTGCGTGTGAATTCACTTCTTGAACCGAAAAACTGAAATTTTACCCAAAATGAAGAATGTTTAAAGGAATACTAAAGGCACAGGCATCGCCTTTCTAAAACAAAAACACACAAGCCATTTTGGAACCTTTGTGAGTCATGTCATTGTGTGAACTAGCTGTCATCGCCTGAGAATTCGTTTGCCATGGTAAAATCCAGACATTCCTAAGTTGGCTTGCCCTGGAGCAGCACTCTGTGTAGAGTCGCTTATGAGAAAAAGCAGCAAGTCGGCACCTATAATTCAGAAAGGTCGGCCCGGGGCCGCAGACACGTTTTGCCAGTCCAGAGGCTTAGCCCAGGTATTGGCAGGGTTTCTGCTCAGTGACCTCACAGCCCGGCGTCGAACGTCATTTTCTTCTGCCGCGGGAGGTAGCTGTTTCCTCCGGCCCTGCTCCCCGGGGGCCCAAGTTAGGTGGCTTCTGCATTTGGGGGGAATCTCTTGTTGTCCCCACATGATGCACTACTGGAGAAACAAACCTTTGATTATTTTTATAGATAACCACTAGAATCTTTCTTGAGAAGAATTCCATGAGTTTTACCGAGTTTTGTTCCTTTTTTTCTTCCATTTTTATTGTAAGCAGGAACAGACTTTCAAAGGGCTTGTTTTAAGCTCTAACAGTCTCAAAAGTGTACTGCTACTCCCCGAAGATAGCTTTGCAAAAACAGTGGCTAAAGATGAATGACCTGCAACAGGGATACAGCCTGGGGTTATATGGCATGGTCTCTTGGTTCATATATATATATATATATATATATATATATATATATATATCTATATATATATATTTTAAGCCGTCATTTAAAAATTGGTTCTTCTTCTGGCTCCCATGAGCATTTGAGTTTGCCTCTTTGATGTTATAAAACTTAGTTTCTAGCTATTGGATTTCTACCCTGACATTGTCATCCTTTTTTGAGGACCTCTTCTTTTTTTTTTTTAAATATATTTTTTATTGATTTTTTACAGAGAGGAAGGGAGAGAGAGAGAGAGTTAGAAACATCGATGAGAGAGAAACATCGATCAGCTGCCTCCTGCACATCTCCCACTGGGGATGTGCCCGCAACCCAGGTACATGCCCTTGACCGGAATCGAACCTGGGACCCTTCAATCCGCAGGCTGACGCTCTATCCACTGAGCCAAACCGGTTTCGGCGAGGACCTCTTCTGAGGAAAGAAGCTTAGCTGTTGCATATGCTTCACTTCTGGTTTAATCTACAGAAGAACAAAGAGTGTTGCAGCAAACCGGGGTTGTTGGTCCTGGCCTCACATTAGGACCACCTCAGGGAGCTTTAGAACATACCTGTGCCAAGACCCTGCTTCCAAACATTCTGTATTCTTGTAAATTAAATTTGTTCCCCCCGTTGCTCCTAATGCATAGCTAGGATTGAGAACTATAAAGCAAATCACCTTTAGAAATTAAAAGAAAAAGTTACAATTTAAATAAATTGTGTCCTCTAGCTCCTATCCCTTCCAATTTTTTTTTCTGCAGTAGTACAGCTCATAATATTTTCTCCTTCACTTTCTTGAAATGCTCAGTTGCAACTGAGTTATTGATAGCCTCAGGAGATTGAAGGGGGCATAGAAGGTGAGCTACTCAAAATCCCCTCATTTATCTTTCAATTCATCTCTGTTTCCTGGATAACTGAAGCTAGAGTTTAAGTGGAGGAAGGAAGGTAAACTGTCTAACCACTGAACAGTGGTGCATTATGTCACAGTGTGCATTATGTGTTCCAGGTGCCTTCATTCCCAGGGTAAACTTGAATAAATTAACCTCTGACTCCATTGGATCCCAATTTTTAACACCAAAGACTGAGACAAGAGAGATGTAATATACTAGAATTAACTTTAGGGGGCAGCAGTACACTATTTTGCTTTCAGTGTTGCTTTTGATTGAGAGAGACTTCTTTTTTTCCCCTTTTTATTGAGTGTATTGGGGTGAAATTGATTAATAAAATAATACAGGTATCATGTGTACAGTTCTGTACTACATCTGTATATTGTGTGTTCACACACATCCTTTTAAGTATAGTAACTTTAGGAGGCAGATTCATAGGTTGTGTTTGTATTTTGGATTATTGAAACCTTTAATTTCTCTAATTGAAACTTTTTGGCCCCTAGTTGTTTTTTCCCCAATAATTATTATGTTTCTTTATTAGAAATGTTATTATAGAAAACTTGGCGGTTACAAAAAGTACCAGTAAAACCAAATATTAATCACCTATAATGTCACTACTGAGAAATAGCATTTTGGTGCACATTCCACATTTACATGAATGTGTGTTTGTGATGGTTTTAATGAAATTGAGGTCTTATTATACATGCTGTTTTTCTTCGCAGACCACGATGGCATAATATTAGACATAAACTACAATAAAAACAAACCAAAATACTCAAACACCTGGAAGCTGAATAGCATGCTATTAAATATACATGCTGTTTTATATTTGTACATTTTGATAACTTTTTCATGCTGTTAAATATGCTTTTATAGCATGTTTTCTTTAATGGCAACTTATAATCTTAAGGTTCAAAAAGTATGAGTTAGGCCAAAACCGGTTTGGCTCAGTGGATAGAGCGTTGGCTTGCGGACTGAAAGGTCCCAGGTTCGATTCCGGTCAAGGGCATGTACCTGGGTTGCGGGCACATCCCCAGTGGGAGGTGTGCAGGAGGCAGCTGATGGATGTTTCTCTCTCATCGATGTTTCTGACTCTCTATCTCTCTCCCTTCCTCTCTGTAAAAAATCAATAAAATATATTTTAAAAAAAAAAAAGTATGAGTTAGGAGCTGATACTGTTCTAAACGCTTTACATGTATTAACTTATTTAATCCTCAAAACAACCTTATGAGGTAGATGCTATTGTCCTCATTTTATAAAAGGAAAAACTGTGGCACAGAAACATTAAAAGAATTTATCCAGGAATATATACATAGCAAGTAGCAGAGCCAGGATTTGGAACCCAGGGACTTCAGAGTGTGTACTCTTTATGGAATTATATAAATTCTATTATAGACAATAATATCATTTTTCAACCAATCCCCTCTAAATACCATTGTTGAATATTTAGATTTGCCAGGTGTTTTTTTTTTTTTCCTATAAAAATAAATGTTTCAACAAAGGTGAAATCCTTCTAAGTGAATATTTTTACATCTCATATTTTATGAGACTAGATTCCTAGTACTATTATTATTAGTACTAGAGACCCAGCGTGCACGAAATCGTGCGTTGTTAGGGTCCCTAGGCCTAGCCTGGCCTCAGTCGCATGGCCTCTGCCGCCCTGCAATGCTACGTGAAGCTCCCCGCTCCGGGGCACTCCGTGATGCTCGCAGCCCCTCGACTACTCTGCGAGGCTCCCCCCAACCCCTCGACTGCTCTGTGAAGCTTGCTGCCGCCCTGTGAAGCTCACCGCTGGCCGCCCAGGTGACTGCTCCTCTAAGCTCACAGCCACCCCGTGAAGCAGCCCCGCCACCGCAGCTCAACAGTCCCCAGTCCCGCCCCACCGCCAGCCCCCGCCTCATGGTGAGGGGCTCAGGGTCAGGGGGAGAACCAAGAGGCACTTCATGGTGACTGGTCGCCCGTTCAGTCGTGACGGCACCTAGCTCTTGATATATATTAGGATTATTGGATCAAAGCATATCTTAAGTATTTGGTAATATATTACCATATTGTTCTCCAGAAAGGGTGTGCCATTTTTTTATTCCCAACAGTAGTGTCATCTACAGTATTATTATTCTAATTTTTGCTAATTTGGTTGGTTGTAAAAAGCCATGACATTATATATATATATGTGTGTGTGTGTGTGTGTGTGTGTGTGTACATAAATATATACATAAAATACATTTTTATTGGTTTTAGAGAGAGCAGAAGGGAGAAGGAGAGAGAGAAACATCAATGAAAGAGAAATGTCAACATCCATCGACTGTTTCCTGCACACCCCCCATTGGGGATCGAGCCCGCAATCCGGGCATGTGCCCTGACCAGGAATTGAACCAGTGATCTCTTGGTGCATGGGTTGACGCTCAATCACTGAGCTACACCAGCCCAGCGACATTTTATATATT